CAGCTAGCCGCAGCCAGCGAAGCAATCTGGCTAATCTCCTGGCGGGGGCCAGGGGAACACGCAGCTTGAACAGAAACAAAACAGACATGATGACAGCGGCGGTTTGGGCAAGAAAGAGGCACAGGGCGGGGCCACAAAACCAGCAGGCAGGCAGCCAACGAGCGAATCCATTCTGGCTGATCTTGTGCGGCGAGCCAGGCGGCCCGTGCAGAAATCCACCGACAGCACTACAACACTCATCTCAGAGTGGTAGCGCTGGCTAACACTCCCACAAGCGTGTTGCGCGATCTCTGCACCAGTCATCGAGCGCAGCGCACACGTACCCGCGAGATTCGGTCGGCCAGCTTGCTGATGTTGCCGTTCAGGGTGCACGCGAAGGCCACGAGGGCGCAGAAGAAGAAGCCCAGCACTGTCCACACAACAACGGCGGGTCACAATCCGTCCGACGTCAATTGTGCGGCGGGGCGCGTCGCGGACGCTCCTTCCGCGTTGGACAATCCCAACGAGGTTCCATCGGCCGCCCGCGTCGATACGACAGTCGGGTCGCAAAGGCCAGGCGGCTGCAGCACCGACGATGTTTCGGCCCCCAAGCCCTGGGGTTGTAAGTGGTGACTCGCGCCGCGGTCCCCAGCAAGAACAGAAAACAGCCACGAGGTCGCTCTCGCGGCGCGAAAGTAGAATCCGACCGGGCGAAAAATCTCGGCCCAAAATCAACCAGATCCAACCACCCCGAGGGTCCATCACGGCCCGCCGCTCCTCCTCCACTCGTCCCCCGCCCGCCTCCGCCCGATGCGCCTCCAAAAACATCACACCCGCCGCGATTCAACCCGCCCCTTCCCCCCCCGCCTTGGGGGCCCCCCCGCGATGTGGCCCCTTGTCCCGAGGCCACGGGCGCTCACCAACAAAGGCGCAGATGAAGCCGGCTATGCCCTCCGCAGTCAGGTTGCCCCGGGGAATCAGCAGGTGCCGCATGGTGTTGTCCATGTCCAGGACCTCCATGGCGACTCTGCCCGCCTGCGGTGGCTCAGCGCGGAGGGGGCAAAGCGAAGAGTTCTCGCAGGCGCAGTGGGGACTGGGTGGAAGTCAGACGGCTTTGTGGCCGTTATATCAGGCTGGCTCACCGGGCCGGCACCCCTACTAAGGTAAAAAAAGCCGGGGGAGGGGCCCCGGGATTGGCTGGTGCCCGACATGTGGCGCGTGCGAGGTCCCGGCGCAAAACTTTCTTGGACGGAGGGGCCGCTGTGGGCCACTGGATGCGGAGGGAGCCAGCGGATTGGACGGGACTGGCGGGCCTTTTAGCCGGCCCTGATTGGCTGTCAACAGCCTCGGGGCATCCCAGGGGGGTACAGGGTGCTTGGATTCGCTCCTGTGGGGACGGTATCGCGATTGGTTGTTGGCGTGTTGTACGACAGTGACAGACAGGGATGGCTGAGGGGTTCGCAATAAGCCCTCAACCACCGTTTCGTTGGGTGGATCACTTGAGAGGTGCACGGCGGGCGGTGGGTTTCTAGTGAATTGCTGCATTGCCGCACAATTGTTAAAGCGTTGCGTTTGATGGCCGGGGTAATTCGATATGGCATGAAAATAAGACAAAATGATGCTCTGCTCATAGTGCTCATTTAAAAAGATGAACTGAATATGTGGAGGAGGATGAACTCAATTCAGTAGGCCGTTGTGTGTACTAGTGGGGTAGGGCACACCACTAAGCAAAACGTGATTAAAGATTATTCAATGATTTGACGACTGGGAGATTTGGATGGGCGCTTGTGATGCACTACGAATTCGGATAGCGCTGGCAGTCATGGCTGATTTTGGCAGCTGGTCTTCTTCAAAGTATGGGGTTGCGAGTCCAGCCTGATGGTGCCTTTGAGGGGGGTCTCCCTACTTGAAGGGTGCCCAAAGGCTGCCAACCACCTAGTTGTGCTCCTGCCCCCGCCCATCCATTGTGTCTGAGTTGGGTATTTCAGGCTGAGTGAACGAACAAGTACTGGGATTTAGAACTTTGATTTTTATTGTGAAGCTAAGGGAAGGTTGAGTGTGACAGCCATGGGTGTTGTTTGAGGGAACACGGATGATGACACTCTTAATACAATTCTCTAGTGCATGTGTCATCCTGGGTGAGGATTCCGGCAAGGGAGAAACAGTGGTAATACGGCACTCCTCCTCTCACCTCCACAATGTTCTTGGCGCTGATTCGCTTCCCTCCAAACCTTCGAGAGATCCATATGTAACGGTGGGACGGAAACTTTCCACTGGAAAGGGCTGACCCGAGTCTTTCGCTGCGCTCGCTGTTGCGTTGCGTCCCGGGCTGTCCCACACCATTTTCCTTACACAATCCCGTCACGCGCTCCGCCGTCGAGTCCTTGTGTGGCCTGTGCGCCACGTGGGGATCGAAGCACGCAACAGAAACTGACTTCTCCGACTCAGCCCCCTTGCGGCCCCATGGACGCCCTCTTCCAAGTACTCCGGGGAATCATCCTGACGTCCTCCCCATGCTTGGAGCCTCTGCTCCCAAGTGTGGCCCTTGCCAGTGCGCCGATCCGGCAACGGCCGCCCGTTGCCGCGCCCTGACTCCACCTCTGTCCACTCTCAACAAACGCTGTACTCAGCCAACTGCGACAGCATGGAGGAAGATCCTGCTATCGAATCCCCCCTTGTAAACGCCGCGCGGCGCACGCCGGAAGCGGCTGGCGAAGGGGGCGATTGGGCGGACCCTGAGCTACGACTACCAAGGACCACGGCCTCCCACTCTCAGCAAAACCTCGACTTGGCCAATTGCGACAGCATGGAAGAAGGCGCTGGGGGCGATGGCCCCTTCGCGCGCGGCACACCGGTAGCGGTTGGCCAAGCGGCGGATTGTGCAGACCAAGAACTGCAAATGACGGCGGCCTGCCACCCTCAACAAGTCCTGGACATGGCCAGCTGCGGCAGCATGCAAGAGGACGCTGCGATCGAACACCCCCCTGTCGAAGCCGTGCGTGGCACGACGGAAGCTGTTGGCCAAGGGAGGCATCATTCACAAAGGACCACAGCCTACAGGGCCGTTGCGCATCCCGGTTGCAGCGCCGATCTCTGCCACGGGGGCTGTTATCCGCAGGGGGGCGTCGGCCGGGCCATTTGCGGATCGTCCGCTGTGAGGAACGGCGGGTATGACGGGGACAGTCGCTATACCCGTCGGCGCCGCAGCGCCGCGGGCGGACAAGACAATCACCCGGGGCAATTTATCGTGCGCTCGATCGAGTCCGACGGATGCGTGGGGTTCAGGATCAGTCCTCAGGAGGCGGCGCGGCGCAGCTGGGCGATTCCGGGCAGGAGCCCGACTATGCCCATCCGTACGGGCAGAGCGCAGGCAATGCATGTTGCCATGCATGATCACCCATCGGGTCACCAGCCGGCGTGGGCTCCGAGCACGCCGCCCAACCAGCGGCTGCCACCACTGATTGGAGGGGGCAGGGAGTGCCCGCCGGCGCCGGCCAGGAGGAAACAGGCGAAGGAGGATGTACTTCCGGGGAATTCGGTGTGGTGTTTGGCCGCTGGGGTGGCTGAAGGAGAATTAGACATCGCATCTGACGACTGTGGCCAGAGCCGGGGCGGTGACGAGAGGGGTGCTCAGGTGGAGGCGCTGGAGCGCCTGCTGGGAGTGGGCGCTGAGCTTGGCGCCAGGGCGCATGCGCGGAGGTGGGGTTAAGTGGGGACGGGTGGGTTTGCAAGGGAATGGGTGGGTGTGGGGTGGGTGCGCTCATGCATGGCACCTGGGTGCAGATGCAGCACGGGGCGCGTGATTTTGTGTTGATTTGCGGGAACTTTTCGGATTTGGGGGGGCTAAGACTTGTTGCAAAGGGAGAAAGAAAGAGGTCATACAAAGAGGACCCCTGCCGAGCAAGTGTATGCTAGGCTCTGTTTCATGGATTTTGGGGGTATCCGAGGGACTGGGATTTTGAGGCGGGCCTGGGGCGGACGACACCGCAGTCCCAGGGCGGGGACGGCTTGGAAGCCCGTTTCCGTGTGTGTGCTGAGCGGCGCTGCATTCTGGCAGTCCAGGAACTGAAAGCCGCATGGAGCGGCAGGCATGTGGGACTCTTTGTGGCCGCATGTGGCGACTGCAGGCCCCACAGCCGCTCGATTCAGAATGTGGCTGAGTTTGGGCCAGGGGATAATCAAGCGTTGCCTGTTTGCTGTCAGGTTGGAACGGCAGCTGAACGATTTGGGAGCTGGAAGATAGACTTGTATGCATTGCGCAGCGGCAGCTTTTTTTTGGGTTGTTTTCTGCCAATGTCAGGCAAGGACGTCAGCCAAACTTTTTTTGTGGAAGATTCGGAGGTCCCACATGGCAAGGGTGCGGGGTCCAAGACTCAGCGGTGGAAGACAATTCAATCGGCGTCTGGCACTGGCTGGGGCCCTCCAGTTCCATGGGTTGTTGTCAAGTACGGTTCACCAGCATGGGTGTCGGGATTTCACATGCAGTGCGCTCTTCAATTTCAAGAGGGCGGTGTGTTCGCGAAAAATTGATCTCATGCCCCCCATTTGGCTCTGTGCACTGCGTGATGTAGAGAAGTGAACAGCGTGGTGTAGACAATTGCAGCTTTTGTGCGTTCAAGATGCTTGTGCGCAATAGACCGCACGATAACCACGGTTCTTTTGTCGCGATCCATGCATGGATTCCGTGATGACTGTGAGATTAAGTATTGACGCCTTGCCTGTACCACATACCGATGAACAGTCACCCATCCTGCCATGTTAGATCGTTTTTTTGGTTCAACCCTCACCATGCACTCGATCGTAGCGAGCGTTTAGACACCTTGTTTGCCTGATGCAAGCTTTGTGGCTTGCAGTTAGTTATCACAAGAGCCGCTGAAGGTGGTGCTTTCATGATGGACTGTTGATTGGGAATAAGGCCTCCACGAACGACGCTCACATAAAAAATTCTCACTGCGCCAGCGCAGTTGCCATGAGCACAGTCCAGCCGCAGTCGGTCCAGATCACCACGCTCGTGCTGACGGTCACACTTCCTCAACATTCACCAGGCGGAAAAACTTTGCGCTGCAAAGACGGCAAGCCAGTCCAAGCAGCGGCCCCCGTGTGCCCATTGGTGCGCGCTTCAGCCCGCCCGCATTCTTTTCGACCACGCGCCAACCACAACAGCCTTCAACATTGCAGTTCCAGCGTACATGGCTGCCTGAATGTGGCCTCACAGGGGCACAGAAGAATTCACCAACAATAAGCCATTCTCGACTCCCCTGATCAAAATATTGATGATAAAAAAAGCTCAGACGCCAAACAAGTGCATAAACAATCCCTGGACACAACCTCTCGCACATGCAAGCCCCCGCAGTCTAGTACACCTCCACGTGCCATGTGCCAGCCTCCTTGAGACCCTTCAACCATTCGTCGAAGTTCAGTCCCCTGGCCTTGGCGACGCGCTGCAACATGTCTTGGATTCCTGTTGTCAACAGAAAGGTGGCAGAGTTCATGAGCAGTTGTGTGCATGAAGCAACAAAGGCCAAGTGCAACGCATCACTGAATTACAGCCACATGCAGCTGCCCATTCTTGGCGAACCCATTAAGTTTCAACAGAAGGGCAAGAATCCCCTCTGTGGTGCTCCAACGAAGTATTGCAGTCACACAAAGTTTCACAGCACTAGCAACTTTGGGCAAGGTGCTGAACTGTTCGATAGCCAGCTGCTGCCACAAGACTTATTTATCCATCTCACAGTACAGCACACACAGGAACGCGTTTGCTCACCTGGCATCATTCCTTTCAGTCCGCAGAAGTAGATGTGTGCCCCATCGGCCAACAGATCGAAGATTTGGTCTGAGTACTCCTCGATCTTGTCCTGGATGTACATCTTTCCACCATTCTTGTTCTTCTGCTCCCGCGACAGAGCATAGTCCACTCTGAACTGGTCAGGGAAGTTCTTTGCACACCACTGAATCTCATCATCATACAGTTTGGCGTCGCTGTTGGCACAACCCATGAACAGCCACTGCAGGCCAGTGAACTTGTACTGGGGCACATCCTCATAAAAGGCACGGCGCCAGAACGCTCGGTATGGTGCAATGCCAGTTCCGGTGGCGACCATAATGAGAACAGCATTCTTGTCTTCAGGAAGGAGCAGTACCTTGCCAGTGGGGCCTACGCAAGGGTGCAGACAGGTGCGACCGCTTCAGCACAGGCAGCTCGTAACCAGCAGGGCAATTAAGCACCTGCCTGCCAACACATCCAGGTATCCATGGCGAAGGTGCAGCGAATTGCTGGTATAGGATGCACTGCACAAAGAAATGCATGCATGGCAAGACAGAACAGCGCTCAAGCAAAGCAAGAAGCTTGACAAATATGCAGTGTTCCACTGGCTCTGCAACCAGCGCCTATCCCAGTAGTAATTGATGCAATATGTGGTGTGGTGGCCCTGCAGCTGCACATAGAAAGGCAGGGCAGTTTGGTGCCTTCAGGTTTGGGCTACATCTGAACCTGGGGGTCTGTGCCCCTCCACAGGTTTTCTGTGGAAGCCGCCAGGGCATTCCATGATGCCATGATGCAAAATCAATCGCAACACTGAAAATCCTGGTAATGGTCCTGCACAACAATACATGAAAGAAGACAGCACCAGCAGTAGAATGCCAAATGAGGAGGGCAAAATTTGGCCCCAGCCACAGTTTCAGGTTACGACCAGGTTTAGAACTGCACCATAATGGGATAGAGACACAAGAGTTTTTCAAGCTGATTCCTCCTGCACCTGATGATCAACAAGACAAATAGCCTCACCTGTCATGTTGACCTTGGTTCCCTTCTTGGCATCGCAAAGGAAGTTGGAGCAAATCCCTTTCTTAGATGGGTCCTCCTTGCCAGTCTCCGGGTCTGTGTAGGTAGCCCGGCGCACGCACAGGGAGGTGGTCTGGCCGTCGTAGTCGTCACCATAACGTGTTGAGGCGATGGAGTACAGCCTGGTTCCAAGGGGAACTTCCTTGCCCTTGCTGTTGATCTTGGTGCCCTGTAGCACACAGGGGACAGCAGACACCAGAGTTGGAAAGACGCAATTATCCCACTGATGCCGATGTGCCCCAGCACTGCTGAATTCAATAATGTTGTGGAATCCATTCAATTGGTAGCCCATGACACATCACTCGAACTCGACTGCCTGGGCGACAATCAGCCCAGGTGGAGTCACTTGCATCCCATCGCGCTGGGGTGGAAAGTCCAACACGGTCCTCTTGCCATCAACTCTAGCAATCGCTCCAAGTCCCAACCAAGACGAGCAAGTTCACCACACGCACCGGTGGTATGACGCCGTAACTCTGCCCTTCCCAGAAAGGGATCTTCCCGTTGGTCTTGATCCGGATGTGGCACGTCTCCCCCGTGGCCTTGGGCCCAACGATGCGCTCCACGGAGACCACCTCGGCCACGAACGGCTGCTTGTTCTTGAAGGTGTTCATCGGCATGTCGCCCTCCTCCAGCGACAGCGGCCGCACCACCTTCTTGACGCTCTTGTCGGTGGCCACGGCCTGCATCACCACGCGCAGCTCCCGCGGCCCATGGGCACGGGCGCGGGCTGAGCCCACCAGGGGGCGCCCAGCCATCTGCGCAGCGAAGCACGGGGCCAATCAGACTCTGAGAGAGGGGTTAGATTCCAAGAGGTGCGCTAGACCCTAAGGCACGCTGGCGGCAATGAGGCGACACTCCATGTCCGCCCAAGGGTCACGAACGGACGGCGTGGTCCTCTCGGAACCCATGACGAGCGCGGGAACAGTTGATGGACTGTCGATGAACCTTTGCAACGGGATGCGAAGCGTGTCACACAGTGGGCACTCCCTGTCCCGAGCAACTGCGCTTGCGAGCCTCTTTTCCATCTGATGAAAGATGTTGCAGAAGATTCGAGCCCAACACGAAAGCGCACCAACACTGCACCCATTAATAGACCGTTGGGTGGTCCGTTTTGCGAGCACTCAAATCACTCGCACTCCGAGCTGACACGGCAAATTTTCTCCACAGACTCAGTGAAAGCGCGTCACGGCACTTTTCCGCTGATCCCGGGCGCCCGGTGGGCGTCCCGGCTCTTGATGCAGGCCAAGCGGGTCACGCTGCATGGAGGCCAGCCCCCCAAGCCAAGCGGCCACCAAAAAACAGAACAAAAGAGGCATCCAGTCCACACGGCAAGCGTATGATCAACCAGATGGGCCCAAGCACGCGCACGGAGACGCCGCCAGCGCGCAGACTTGGCAGATCGACCCCTTCCCCGGTCCGTGCACCGAGGCGCGGCGCCCGGGAGGCGTCCGGTCAAGATCAAAGCAGGCGCCGCCGATCGACGCCACCCCGCTGCAATTCCGCCCACCAAGTCGGCGAGCGGCGCGCCGCGAGCGCAGCCGCCGGCCAAACGGACGCACGCTCACCACTTGGGACTGGAACAGGATGCCCGGAGAAGCCACCTGCGATGCAGTGCGCGAGTATCGTCAATGATGACAGAGATGAGTGGCCAACGGCGCGCAGTAGGACAGGGCGCCAGGTGGCAGGCCGAGGCACCCACCTGGGGAGCCATGTCGCCGGCGGCCGAGAGGCGAGGCGGGGGGGGAACGCGCCCGTTGTGCGGACCACCGGTGGCGCCGTAGTGAGGGGGAGCTGGGGTTTGGCCAAGATTAACACGGGCCAGGCCACCGGTGAAGGCGGGCCCAGGGACCAGAGATCGATGCAGCGTCAGCACTGGGGCGGTGCGGGCTGCGCGTTTCGGTGGACCAGGGCACGCCAAATTGCACGCATGACAGCCACAGGTGGGGTGAGCCACGCGACAAGGCAGCCCGTACATTGTGCACAGCGGCGGCAAATGTGGAGACCCCCTGGGGTGGGGTACCCGCAGGGCCGGGTAGCCCCGCTGGGAGGCACCAACTGGCCCGGCGCCCCACCGGCGGGCACCCCGCTGGACCGGCGCCCCACCGGGCTGGTGTACCCCGGTGTGGGGTGCTGCCCGTTGCGCCTGCACACCTCGTGCCCAGTCACCCCAGTGGTTTGCCCCCCCTGCTCTTCACGTTTTGTTCACAGGACAGCAGATACGGGTGGTGTTGGGTGCACTGGACAAGGTTGGGCGCCACCCAACGTGACGTAACCTTCCGGGACTCACTGCCCTCACAAGGCGCCAGTGTTTGTTCTTCCTTTCCTGCAGCGGGTGGCATTTGTGGAATAACTGCGAAAGAGCAGCATTCTTGAACGCGGCGTGATTGAGCAATTAAATGCAAGAACGTGTTTGCTGTCATCTGTCAGTACCTGTCAAGCAGTGTTATGTCATTGGTATGCAGCGTGTGGTGGTCTGAGCTGTTCCGTTGTTCCCAGGCAGTGGGTTTTCTACTAGAAGTTTGCCTTCCACATTTCCACCTTCTACTCATCTTGCGCCCGTTCAGCATGAGCTTCAGCAAGGGGATTGGCTATTTGTGAGCATGGTTTTCAGGTCAAATAGGATTAGGGAGGAGCAATCCACCAGAAAGTGGCTGCATTGCCTCACCCTTGTGCTCCAAGGCTGTTGCAGCTGCAACTATGAGGATGTTTCCCTCAACGCATGGAAGTGTGCAGCAGGACAATGACTGGACCTGCATTGCCACAGTGCATTGTTGCACATGAATCTGGTTTCCTAACACTTGTCGATTGTCAACTATCCAGCACTCTTCTCTTGATAAGAATCAAATCTTAATAATTCTTAATAAGAATTCCCATGGCTGATGCTCCAAGTTTGCTGTTATGTTCCATTGCGGCCTACACACTTCTTATTTGATGTGGACGAAGCTGCCCTTTCCAACAACATTGCAGCGATGATATGCATTGCATGGCTGGCTGTAGGAGGCACTCGATAATGTCAAACCAACTTGGCAATGCAGCTCTTTGGGCAGGTCGAAAATGATGCACTGGTAATCGCACGGGCCGCAGCTGAACTCAAGCAATCATACAGCATCGTACTCTTGGTGGTTCAGAAGGACCATGCAATGAAGAATCCGCTGCCCCAATCTCATGGAGGAAGAATAAGGATGGAGATCTGAGAGGGGCAAAGGAGAGGCGCCAGTGCTCACAAATTGTCGTATGTCTTTCTGCCTTGCAGCAGGCGCCCCTCCACATGCCACAAATTTACCCATCGTTGAGCATTTGCGCCTTGCTATGTTGTGCTCCACCGTGGTGCTCGCCTCTCGGCGTCCAGAAGGCTGCTGTTACGGCAAGGCCAAAGAATGCAAAACCTGGCCAGGATTATTACCACATTCGCATCTCCACAGCATGGACACATCCATATCAGAACATACGCGAGCCTCCACAAGAACAGAACTGCACTGTCGACAGGGGAGCGGCATCTTGCCAGCTAGAGTTCTGTCGTTGGCCAAGACGCTTGCCGTGTTTGGATCACCTGAACCAAACTGAGAAGGCTGTGTGCCTGGAAATGAACCTGAATACGTCTGCGCGTTTGTGGCCCAAAGGCATCGCACACCTGCAGCCGCGGCTGATCCCATGAGGTGGTGTCCACTTGCCCGCCGGTGGCAGCTGCCAGGGCAGCGACTGCTGAAGAAGTCCTGGCATCGCCTAGAGGGTGATAGGCCAACGACGTGCCATGCGCTTTGATGGATGCACTCAATGAATATGCACGTCAGAAGCCAGGGCACTTTGCAAGGGGGCGTGTCCAGGGAACGAGCAGCCGAAGCAGGCCCCCAGTGATTTGGATGTTCTGGTCACGACGGGTTTTTGTGGACATGTCCGGCTGGTACAGCAGGAGAGCCGAAGGTCTCTGAACGAGGGTGCTCACAAACTCCATGTCGCCAATCCCAACGCAAGCAATGGTAACACCACTGGGAGAGAACTCCTCCCCCGCTCACCGACAAGTATGATCATTTCCTACATCCACGAAATACAATGCGAATGTTATGCGTCCACATTCTTCTCCAAGTGCAGACCCATGAATTAAGTTACACAAGAATCCCCAGATCTTGTCAACGACCGCAGCAATCCCCCAAGGCCAGGAAAGAATAAAAATCAGCACAGAACCGCCACCGGAGCTGGTGCGTGAGGTGGCGACGGCTTGGTACAGCGAAGAGCCATCCACAGTATGTGCACCACAGAAAAGCGCCCAATCCCTCGTGCAGAAGGCAGGAGTTTGGCCTTCGCACGGAAAGCGTAGTAGAGACAGGCAGGCCACCCTAGAACGTGATGAGCGAGTCCTGCTCGTAGCCAATCTTCTTCAAATTGGGGATGCAAGCGAAGTTGATCATTGGCGGAGGGCCACACATGAGCACAATGTTGCCATCCCCCGCCTCGAACAGATGGTCTTCGATCATCTTCTGGTCGACGAAGCCGGAGCTATACTTCCAGCCTTCAGCAGGCCTGTCGACTGTGTACCACAGTTCAAAGTTCTTGTGGTTTGCAGCCCACATCTCCAAGTCTTCCCTCAGAAGGATGTCCGACTCTGTCTGGTTAGCGTACAGCAGCTTGATCTCGGTGGTGTCTTCAGGGTCCTTGAGGATGGCCTTGATCACCTGGTACATGGGCGTGATTCCTGTGCCCCCGGCAATCATCGAAATCTTCTTAGCGCAGCCAGGTTTTCTGTTCTTGGCAAATGCGCCTCGTCCCTCATAGGTGAAATGCCCCACTGGCCCCTTCACGTCGATCGTGTCCCCGATCTTCATCTGCTCGAAGTGTTGGGACAGCTTCCCACCTTCAGGGAACCTGGGGTGCACGTTGGCAAAGTACACTTTCACAACGAGGTCGAAGTGGCCAACGTCGTCGTCTGAGCTGGTGGGCGTGTACGCCCGCATAACCGGCTCCCCATTCACCTTTGCGTAGAAGAACATGTGCTTGCCAATGGGCAGGCCAAGCTTGTGTTGGTCGGACTGCAGGGCAAACCGGAAGAGTCTGGTGTCATGGGAGAGTTGGATCTTCTCCTTGAGTGCGAAAGGGATTCTTTGCCGAGGGTTCAGAGCAACTGGCGTTGCTGCCTCTTCCACGCATTTTGCAGGCACGACCTCTCCCTTGGCCGCCGATGGGGCCAACGGCCCCGACTGTGCAGCAAGGTCTCCGATATAGTAATCCGCCAACATCTCCTTTGCCTTCAAGGAATGAATGGAGTTGAACTCATTTGTTGCATCACGCCCCGACTCGATGATGATGGACTCAGCACCACCAGGGTGTTCATCCAAAAAGGGAGTTGCATCGTAGACTTTGCCCTCGTGCACGAACCAGGCTGATTCTTCAGTGTTGTGCTTAGACACTTCCTCCATTGTGTACGTTTTTGGAACCCGATCTGTGACATCAATAAGAAAGTGTCAAAAACTGCAAGCACAGGGCACGTGCCTCTACAACAGAACTCGGAGTACAAATGACACAATTGTGATGCAGGCAATCAGACCAAGAAAACAAACTGCCCTGAAGCCTGGCAAGGCAAGAGAGAGTCACCAAAGGTATATGGTGTCAGTGTGGACTGTAGGCTGTAGACTGTGGTGTACTGTGGTGTCCTGTTGAGTCACAGGCATCTGTGAGTCTGTGGTCTGCTTCACATGACAGCTTGTGCAGACAGCAACTTTCAGAAAATGACACACACATTCTCACCAGTTGCAACTTTGGTGACCAAAGTCGGCGACGCAGCCGGTGCTGTGCTTGGCTTTGAGGCAGCAGTCACAGCCTGATTCCTGTTATTCTCTTCCTCCCGCCAGCCGATGCCGATGCTGCCAACCTCTGTGGGAGCGGGGTGCTGGAATCTGACAGCGATTTCGCCATCCTGGGACAAGTGCTGGTGGATCTGAATCCTGAAATAGCAGTTGTTCATCATCCCCATGACGTTCCAGGTGATATGCGCTGGCTGGCCGTTCTGTGACGAGTCCCACGCCCTGAGCAGCACTTCCTTGCAGTTCATGAAGTCGAACACCTGCACATCCAGGTCCCACAGGACCCAGCACCAGTGCTTGCCGTACACCGTGGGCTTCTCAAAGCGGTGGATCCTGGCCTGTCGCCAGCTCTTGCCGTCGTCGAGCGAGACCTCGACGCGGATCACCTTGCGCCCACCACCTGAACGCATATCAAGGCTTCCCTTCAATCCCCCTCTGGCGCCTCTTCCTCTATATGTTCAGTGCCTAAGCGTGTAAAATTGCACACAAATCCACTACCATTCTCTGCCTATTGAACACAGTTTACGACAGCACTGTTTGTGCACATACAACAGCCACCCATGAGACGTGCTGGGTGCTCAGAGACTGAACTGAGAGGCAGACAGAGCGCTTCGTGAACCTCTATTCCAAATAAAGTTGAATTTCCATCATATCGAAATTCGCAGACCCTACACACACGCCATGTTTCAGGAAACTTGTTGCCGAATGGCAACTCGCAGCAGCACCTTTTAAGGGTCGCACGCTGGACACTTGCCTGTGTATGCGTAGCCCTTCATGTTGTACGGCACGTTCTGCTTGAGGCTGACGACCTCGTCGTGCCAAGGCCGCGCCACGGCGGAGTTGATGTTCAGCTCATTGATGATGTAGTCCGGTTTGAACCACCAGCCTGTGCCCACGGCCGTGGATCAATAAACAAACGAACCAGAAACAAGGAAACCAAATAAAAATCTCGCGCTCACGCATCACGGCCGAGTCAGCGCGAACCATGGCACTATCCCGGGTTCCAAAGTGCACAGCGCGAGGCAGTGGCCACCGCCGCACATCTCTCCCCACCGCCCCCGGCGATAGCCCCCCGGAACGCCCCGGAGCGGCCATCGCTGCGACACCGCTCCCTGCGCTAGGAGGACCCCTCTCGACGCCTCACACTCAAAGCGATGACAAATCGAAAAACTCCCTCGCGCACACACGCCTTGGCCTGCGCACCGCCATCAGATCCACGGCACCGCCCCTCACCTTCTTCCTTGGCGATGGTCTCGTCCACGTGCGGCGGCAGCACCCTGTTGTCGTGGTAATGGTAGAAGTTGTTGGACTCCTCCTTGGTCACCGTGATCTCGCTCAGCCACTTGACCATCCGCCCGCCGATGTACCCCGGCACCAGGATCCGCACAGGGTAGCCGTGATCCGGCGTCAGCCAGCGACCGTTCTGCTTGTAGGCCAGCAGGATGTCGTTGCTGGGGTCCATGGCCGCCGCCAGGGACACGGACGTGCCGTACGACCCGTCCTCTCCCTTGGGCAGCTCCCCCTTGGGGCCGCGGTAGCACACGAAGTGCGCGCCCTGGTCAGGGCTCCTCACGCCGGCGTGCTTCAACACGTCGCACAGGCGCACGCCCGTCCAATAGGTGCATGACGTCGACGTGGGGCCCCAGCTGAAGCCGATGGATTTCTTGATCATGTTTTCTTCCTTGCGTCGGTTGCCCGCGCACGTGACCGTGACGGGGATGGTGACAGAGGGGAAGGCCACGAGTTCGTCCATGCTCAGCGCCACGGGGCGGTCCACCAGACCGTTGACCTCCACGCGGTGGGTTTTCCAGTCCAGCTTGGGCACTGCGCCGTGGTTCCGCACCTGGGGGGGGGGGCCGAACGGCGTCAATCAAGGAGTACGAACGCAAAAGTACTGTACGCGAGGCCTCGTGGGGGTGGGGGGTGGGGAGTTCTGGGCTGCAGAAGCTCGTGTTAGGTCAGCCGAACATGTGACATAGGCCAGGGGGACCTGCCCAGCGCCCGGGGTTTAGAAAAAATCGATGGCACGCGATGCCAGAGATGGCGTTGTGCATTTCCCAAGCAACGGCGCAGACTGGGGATCGCAAAGCAGTCGATCGCGACGAAGCGTTGAAAACAATAAAGGCCCCTCGCCCCACCAGGTGAAGCGACGTGGGCGTGATGAACCCAGCCTCCATGAGCCTGTGCATGGGCGGCTCGCAGTTGAGCGGGTGCCTCCCTGTGAGGCGCAGCAGCTCCGGGTGGCGCGGCACCCAGTTGTCCGGTGTGTCCGCGTCCTTGGCGTCGATCGCCCCTGCCTGCTGATGCAGCTGCCACTCATCGCCGCCCTTGGGCAGCTCGCCCTCATCCGGCGCGCCCAGGGGCTTGAACGCGACCATGGCTGACCCTGCTTGCCAGGCTTGTGGCCAGCAGGGTGGGAATGGGCAACGCGGGGGGGCCTGTGCGGTCGCGGACAGGGGAAATGGGAAGGGGGCCGGTTTAAGGGGTGTGGGAGAGGGTCGTTGGTGGCCCCGGAGCTGGAGCCTTGCCTCGCCATCTTGAAGGTCGGGGGCATGGCGCACCCGGCGAAGGGGCAGCGGGAAGCGCGAAAGGGCAGCAACTGGCGGTGGACCCCACCTGCGTGGCGTTGGAGGACCTGCGGCGGTGGCGACGTGGCGGCCGGTGGGGAGATTTGCCCCGTCAGACGGGGGCAGGGGCGTCCCAATGTAGGGGGCGCGGTGCTGGCTGGTTGGGATGCGGGTGCCCCTACCGCAGGTGCCCGGTGGCCAGTGTCTCCGGTTTAGGGACGATTTGCCAGCCTTTACATACCGTGTTAGTAGGCGTCCCCCGCCAGGGATCAGTAACAATTTGGCCGAGTGACATTCTGGTCAAGTTGCCTTTCGATGCGGCTGGCTGAACACGATACGGTGTGAACATCGCCTGCTTGGCTTGAGCCCCAATTTCCTGGGCGCGGCCGAGGCGGCAGTGGCGTACGGGGCAAGGGCTGCCCTGCTCTTGGACAGGGCTAGCACAAAGACCAATCGTGCGCGAGGGGCAGCGTGCTTGATGCTGCTATGATTGACACCGGACGCGCCGACTTAAGACGAGAGCTGGGATTCCCTTCAAATTCAAAGCCATCCACAGAGTCCTGAAGCTGCCCTTGGGCGCCCCCTGCGACCAACACCACAGCAAACTGTGGCTGGCTGGAGAATGGTCCCTCAGGAGTGGTTTGCCAAGAGTCGCCGGCCACACTGTTTATGAGGGATTTGGGAATGGAGATGGAACCCACAACCCCGGGCCATCGCCCACACCAATGACGCGGGATGTCAACGGCGACGGAACCCACAGCCCCCAAAAGCCATCGGCCATCAACTGGGAAGGGAGATGGAACTCACAACAACTGCCTCGAGGGCCAGTAGTTAGGCTCTTGGGTTCTGAATCCAGTGTGACGGCCAATCAGGAGCGTCCTGTGACCTGAGGCATCTAGGATCTGATGGAGGAGTGACGCGCTCTGCCCAGACGCGGCCCCGGCGGTCTGGTCGGACATGGAGCCTGGTGTACGGACCTCCGCCGCATCTCGACCAACCACCCTTGGCCTGCCTGGAATTTTGAGAAGTTCCCGTCCATGCAAACGCGAGGTGTGCTTTTGCGGCCACCCGCGGTGTCCCCGACCTGCTGGGGCGGCGCTCCGGCGCTCGGCAACGACCCGTGGCCGCAACTTGTGGGGCGAGGACTGGCAAACGCGGTGGACTGGACGAATGTTGGCAGAGGGGCGCAAGGGGGTGCATTGATACATCCTTGCAGATCTGTGCGGGAGTAAAGGCGCGGGGAGTGGGAAGGGAGCGCCCCAGGCGGCGCGGTGTAAGGGCGCGATATCCGCGCCCTTTGTGTGCGCCCCATGCTGGCTTCCCGTGGCGCGGAGGCGGGGAATAATGCCCAATCGGGGAGAAGGGGAATCTTGGCCATGGTGGTGCGGGGAGTGGTGTATGGAAGCTGCATCTTTGCCGCGGCCTTCTCGGCCACCGTCCTGGCGACTGTGGCGATGACCGACGCCCCCTGGGCCGAGGCCGTGGTTGCGGCGGCCTATGGCCGACCGGCCAATCGTGGCGATGTCACCGCGGCGGCGTGCCGGGACGCCGTGGGCGTGGGCTTCGCGCTGGGGGCCTGCTTTGGCGTAGGCCTGCTGCTCTGCGTGGATCTGCTGGTGTACAGGGTGGAGGGCCGATGGGCGGGGAGGGCCGGCGGGCGGGACGGCGGGATTTGGGACGGCGCGCTGATTTTGAGCCGGGGATCGCCCCTGGGGGGGCTGTTGAAATCCGCGGCGAGGACGCCTGAGGATGAGGGATGCGGGGTATTGGAGGCGGAGGGGACATGGGGTAGGCGTGACAACGATGGCGGCGATGGCGGCGGAGTCGGGGCTGGGAGGCATGAGGAGGAGGTGGGGAGGATTATGCGACGCGTGGATTCCGGGCGGTTGAGCGGCGCGGAGAATGGGGATGTCAAGCAGAGGGGGGTGCTGGCCGGTTGGGCGATCCCAGGCGAGGTGGGGAGTTTCCCGCGGGGCTGGCGGCAGGAGGCCGAGCTGTGCCTGCCCAGCTATTCGGCGTCGCTGTGGGAGGACTCGGAGTCAATGGACGAGGGGCGATTGGGCCGCCCGGGTCGGCGCGACGGCTTTAAGGGTGGTGGTGACTTTGTTGGGGGCGCCGCAGAGGAGGGGGGAGGCGGAAGGGGGGGCGTGTACAAATCGTGCAGCACGTCGGCCGCCACGGACATTACCGATGCGGCGATTACGTGGGAGGAGTTCATGGGCCGGGGCGGGGCGGAAGAGGATGGAGGCTCGCCGTGGAGCGATGAGGGGCGGGTGGGAAAGATCCTGTCGCGGAATGCCGGCGGGAGGGGCGGACTGGCCAAGCTGTTCGATCAGTGCGCGGAGGAGGGCGGGGGAATGCGCGACCAGGCATGCGGCGCGCAGCTGCCGCCGCTACCGCCCTACCGGTCGAGCAGCGACGTGGCGGCGTCGCTGGGCGCGTGCGCGAGCTTTCCGCGGTCCAAGGAGTGGCGGTCGCCCCTACGGCGGCAGGCCCACAGCCTGGACGATTTGCAGGAGGCGATGTCGGAGAGCGGGCGATGTTGCGTGCCCTGGCTGCCCCCCCGGCCGTGCGGACACGACCTCCAGGCCGGCGGGGAGCGGGGCCCCGGGGAGCTGCCGCCCGATCTGACCAAGTCGCTGGAGAGTATCATCATCGGCAGCTTCGACGGGTCGCTGGACGCGGCCGACTGGAGCCCCCACGCGCCCACGGAGTGCAGCCGCGGCGACATGCCGTTTTGCTTTCGGTATCGGGACAGCGTGACGCAGAGGTCGGACCCCGAGGAGAGGTGGGACGCGTCACCCGACCGACTGATGATGGCCGCCTACCTGGACGGGAATCAATCTGATGGAGGCAGGAGCGCCCCCGCCGGGATCCACAGCTTCAGGTCGACCCCATTTTCGCCGTCCCTGCTCCAGAGATCCGACAGGCAGATGGGCAAGGCGTGGGGCAGCTCGTCGCTGGGGAGCGAGTACCTGGTGCAGAAGAGCAACAAGACGAGCCACAGGACGATCCTGGACGAACTGGAGCTGCTGGCGGAGATGACCAGGGAGGAGTGCGTGTACAGGATCGAGTGCCAGAGGAAGGCGCTCGAGAGAATGAGGGAGGACGACCTGGCCAGGTGGGGCCGCCCTCTGTGGGATGGGTACTTGCACCTGGAGAGGACGATCTGCAGTCAGAAAGTGCAGCCTTCAATGCAGTGTGCCATGTCTTGTGTCCCTTCGGATACAGTATGCTCAGGCTGTGAATGAATGGCTGGACATCGTTGTCAACCGTGTGCTTGAACTCCCATGTCTTGTGTCCCACCGGATACAGTGCTCGGGCTCCTGAATGAATGGCCCAATATTGTTGTCAGCTTTGTGCTGAGTTGTTCATGATCTTTTTGGCGTGACTGCACTCTGGTGATCGCAGAGTGATTTCTTGCTTTCTCTTGGGGTTGCCAGTGTGCCTTGCCAGACTTTGCTGCTTCTGTGCAGAAGCTCGTGTTCTGCAGTGCTTGGTAATTGACAATGGCTCCCTGGTTGTCTGTGCAGGAAAGAGGCATTTGAATCCCTCAAGTCTGGTGTGGCACCCTCCACCAAAGTAGTGAATCGCCTCAGGCAGAGGTGGGGTGGCAAACGAAGGGCGAAACGCAGGGAAAGGCTTGGCCTCTCTGAGCCAAGCTCCTGGATTGACGACGTGCCCTTGCCGGTAAGTCGCACAGGGTGCGCCTGCCTTTTTCTCAGCAGGGGTTTGCCTAGTTTGTGCTGTGTTTTTATGTATTGTCGCAAGTACTGCCTTTTGGGAGCATGCACCAATTGATCGTTCCTAACGGTTGTGCTGCGATTCGTTTTCTGCTGGATTTTGCATCCTTGATTGGGCAGTCGTGCTGTTCAGCGAAACTGCTTAGGATTCTTTGTTGACACACTGTGTGTTCTCTCTCAGCTGAGGAATGGATGTGGCGTGCGAGCAGAACCTACAACAGCAATGAACTTGCACCTTGAACGAATGCAGGGGGAGTAGGGTGTAGAGACCTCTGTACATTTGTCAGAATAGCTAGGTCCCATGAGACAGACAAGAGGCAACGGGCAGGGAAGAAATGTTGTTTGACTGTTCGTTAGTCAAGACGATCATTTAGTTTGTGTTGGGGTTTGCTTCACCGTTGGCACTTCAAGATTCAAGCTGCCTGGTAGGAGTGCTTCGTGGGGTGAGTGTGCTGCTTTTTCTTGTGCAGTGCTGCACATCGGCAGGTGGAATTTTTTGGATCGACTGCACAAGTTGTTTGGAGTGCGGTGTGGCGCATCTGCTGCATGCAGCTTGCCTGCCCACACCTCAACATGCTTGGTGTATCACATGCTTGCTTTCTGTCAATTGTTTTCAGCATCACTGTGACAACGAGAACAGGGTGCATGGCACCTGGTTGGTAGATATGTGTGACTAGGTACGCAGGCTGTGGGACTGTGACGGAATCGATGTACTCATCTGGCTAGCTTGCTGGTTGTTGCCTGTGTTGATGGCATATTTACGGTTGCCAGATGTATGGCTGTGTACTCGCTGTTTTTTCACAAGCAAGGTAGAGCACCTTTGCCATGAAGTGCCAGAAGCCATTCAAACGACGTGGTGTGGGGGTTACATCTTGTTGCACCGCAGAAATGTAGCAGAAGAACTGGATGTGCAACCCCAAGCTGGAGAGCTCTGCAGTCGAGGAAGAGAGGAAAATTTCCTCAGGAAATGAGCCAATCTTGGGTGTTACGGGGAGGCGCCCATCTTCACCAGTGCCAGCTGAAGGGCATTTTGGGGAATAAAGTTTGCAGCGTATGGCTGCACAATTGGGTGGCACCATGTTTCTTTGCAGTCGTGTAAACACACTGATGAGCACATGTGTCGAACAACCGATTGCCAATTCAAGTGAGGGAGGTGTGGTGGCGAAGAATGCAGGGCCCCAAACATATTTCCCCCCACAAGAATGTCTGCACGGGGCTTTGGCTCGCTCCAATATCTGTGCAACCATGCAGGCCGCAAACGGCTTGAGGTCGAATGAGGTTTGAACTTCACTGTGTGGACGAATGGGTGTGAGAAGAGCAATGTTTGCATTGAATTTCGGGCGACAACTGGATCAGCTTCAGCACCTGAATGCACAGGGGCCGGTTAGTACTCCTTGAAATAACGACAAAAAAATGGCGCGCACTTGATAAGGCAGGCTTTATGGTAGCCACATGAAGCAGTACCAATTTCTGCCTTACCGATCTCCTTCAAACCCCCCCCCCCCCTGTTCCCCACACGACAATACATTACATTCACACAGTTTGGTGTCCTTCACCTTACTAAAACAAGACCCGATTGGCGACCCACTTGAACATGCCCATTCACTCTGGGGCACGGTGCAGCTCCTCCGGAGCGAAGGCGTGGTCATGCCTTGGTCACGCTCGGGCTGATGACGCCCCTCCGGGGCAGAAGATGTGCCCGTACTGCGCGTGTAGGTCACGCGCAGTAATCGTCATCCATCCAAACAGGCGGTAGTCCCACTCAGACGGCAGCCGGTACACGTCAATGTACTTCCACATGACGTTACTGCGGCACTCGCCCCATGCGCGTATCCGCCCCTCCGGCACCTCCAGCGAGTAGCAGGCGCTGACGCCCCCCGCGCAAAGGCTGTGATGATCGAAAGCTTCGAGCGGAGGGGTAGGGAGGGCACGCAGGAGGGCTGGGAACCAGCTGGAGACGATGGGCGTGGATGGGTTGGACTCACCCGGCAAGGTATAGAATGCCCCAAAGAGGCACCAGCGTCTGCCCACACCTTGTCCCGGGCTGCTGACTAGCGAAGGAAATGATCGACGACCGCTGGCACGCCGCTGGAAGGCTAGGAGCGGCAGCGCACCCGGGGTTCGGTATTGGCACTGAGCTTGGTCCGCCACTCGCGAAAGACGATGAGGCCATTCTCGAGGCGGAGGTCGTCCAGGAGGATAAGATATCCGCTCTGTGCCCGATTGAAGAAAATGAAATCAAAGACCGCGGAGCAAGCCGTGCGAAGGAGGCGCAAATCCCCCGTAGTCAAGCCAAAGTCCAGGATGGCACGGAGGACCTCCGTCGGAACCGGGCGATGGGAATGGGCCGGCTCCGGTTCGGCCCGACGCCCAGCCTTGGTGAGCCGCCGAGTAACGGGATCGAAGGCGGAGAAGTCGAGGTAGCCCATCGACTGATGCACCATGGAGATGGCAGCCAGGTACTGGGGGAGGCTGCGAACGCCGACGCGACCTTCCTCCCGCAAAAAGCGGATGTAGCGGTAGATGAACGATGGCCGTGCAGGAAGCGCCTCGAGGTCGTGCGCCTCACAGAAGGAGGCGAACTTGGAGTATTTAGCATGCATCGACCGCCGCGTGGATTCCGTGTAGAACGAGAGGAATTCGGCCTGTATCCATGACTGATCTGAAGATGAGAGGCCGTCCACATCGCAACCGAAGAGCGGGTGGTCCGGAGGCATGACCTCCACCGGGAGAGGGTCCATGACCGGCGATCTCGGGGGGGACCGTGGCGTCACAGCGCCGGGGTCGGCCGCGACGTCCGCGGGCGAATGTGGAAGGCCCACATATTCCACCGATGGGGAGGTAGAACGGCCGGGAGAGACGGATCCCCCGGCGTGAACATGCCCGCCTGGCGAGGAATGGCCATCCCCCACGTGGCCAGCCGCCTCAGCCGCAGGAACCACATCGCCGATGGCCAGTCCGGAGCAAGGACGACCGCTTTCACCTCCGGGTACGCCGTCAGAAACGCCGAGAGGCGTGGAAGGAGCGACCAGGGTGGGTTGGCCCAATTGGCTTCGCCCGTCCAGTCTTGGAGGAATGCATCCACTCCCGCCGAAAGCGGCTCGTGATGCCGCGAATTGAACTTGGGGCAGTGGGAATTCCATTGGGAAGCGAAACGGTCGATCGTCCGGGGTCCAAACTGTCGTGCAATGGCTTGGAAAATAGACTGGTGCAAGCGGTAGTCCTCCCCATCCGTGACCCGCGAGAGGCGGTCCGGAATCGTATTGAGCTTGGACGGGATATACTTCGGATCGATCAACAGGGCGCGGGCCGAACAGATCCGCTGCAGTTGGTGGAGGGGCCCCCAGAGCTGGTCGGAATTGGTCGTCATGCTGCAAATGCAAAAAAGGATGACATGCAAACCCACTAGCAGGCGCAGCCTGGCCGAGATCGAGGGGAAATCGAGCAGAAAAAATGCCCGAATGGCCAGGGCCACCGCCTGCAACTCACGCACATTGATGTGCGTCAAAGATCGATCAAAAAAAACCCGCACCAATTGCAGGCGATCAGAATGGGGGGGCATGAAAGTAGCGCCCTAACCCCGCAAAGACGCATCCGTTGCGAGGGTGCCCGCAAAGGGGATCGCGTCCGGATTCAGCGAGCGACCCTCACACCGATCGATGTTGATCCAAGCCTCCAGGTCGAGGCACGCCTGGGGCGATAAGCGGAGGCGATCCCGCCAAGACCGCTTGGTGCGGAGGACCCCATAAGGACCTTGTAAGAAAAACCGAGCCAAGGGGAAGGCCAAATAAAGGGAGATGGCTTGCCCGCAAAATTGGGCCAGATCCCGAGCCACCACCCAGCGCCGTCCCTTGAGATTTTGGGCCCGGGCGGCAATGGATGCCACTTTATCCATCGGAACAGAAAAATGACAAGTCCGAGTGTCGATCACAATCCCAAGATGCCGCTTGCGTTGGACCGGATCCCACTGACATTTTCGGTCCTTGAACCGAAGCCCCAACGCCTAGAAAATCTGCCTCACCAAGCTGAACCATTCTCGCAGTTGGTCCGGATCACTCAGATCGGCAAGAAAGTCATCCAAATAGGCCAAGATCACGGCGGGATCGGCAATGGAATAGCACAGAAAATAGCGCTGAATCGAGTCATTTCCCGCTAGACACCCGAAACGAAATCGCCGCGCCGCCTTGGCACACGATCGGGGTGATCGAAGAAAACGTGTGACAACGAGCATGAAATGAGTGAAAAAATATGGAGCCAAAGACAACCCAAAGGGCAGTGCCCGACATGCGAACACTTTGCCTCCCATTCTGAATTGAAGAAAACATTAATCGGCCAGGCACATACACAAACGGTGGTATGCATCCTTGATATCAAAACCTACCAAAAAATCCTCCTTCTTCAACAAATGACCAAAATCCCGAAGCCGTTCATACCTCAATCCCATTTTTCGGAGATGGCGATTAACGCGTAGTAAATTGACGCACAGGCGGTATTTCATAACGCCATTCTCCCGCCCTTTCTCTACCAAAAAAGTGCGCGAAATGCACGATTGAGGGCCGGGATCTACCTTGACGATCGCCCCCATAGCCAAGTACTCCTCGCGGAGGGCCGCCCACCCCGCTTGCTCCTCCGCTGAACGGATTGGGTACTCGCCCAGGTCGAAGGGCGGGGGAGGACCCTGCGGTCCCCAAGGCAGTGGAACACCCGAATGGATCCAATGTAGAACGTGCGACGGTGCTCCAATCCTCCGCCATGCTAAGAGCCGGCTGCGGGTGTGGTTGTACAGGAAGTTAGCTATGCGTCCGGAGGTGGATGCGACGCGGAAGGTTGGCCGCGCCTCCTGCCTCTTTTGCCCGACTGGCAGCTCGAACTGGGGTGCTGATCGCCGGTCGGCGCCTTGCCCGCACGGCTCGCCGTGGCCGCTTTGGTCGCAAGCTTGACCTCCTGGGTCAAAAGCTCCTTGCGGATAGCGCCGAGGGTCCTGTCGATGATCTCGGTGGTGAAGCCACCTTCGGGCTCGCTAAGGCGGATCTGGGTTTGCAAAGCCCGCCAGGATCCCTCGAGCCCCGTGCCGCGATGCTTCGCGTGCACTTGATGAAGGCGCAGCTGGTAGACCTGCCTCTCGGTAATGGCCACCGATGCATAGACGTACGGGAGGAGGAGGTTGTGGATCGAAGGCGGGAGGCTCGGATGGGCGACCAGGTCCACGAAGGCCGCCGTGTAGTCGAACTGCCATACGACCCACGGAGCCCAGCTCGC